CCGGAATACATTTAATATTTCACATTATAAGGTAACTTGCTCATTTTATCAATCACTGGTTTGTCTGGTCCAGACTTGACTATTCATAGGCCATCATCATATAACAGGAATGTTGATGAGTGGGTCATTAAACAACAAACAAACAAAAACAGAACAATTTGTTATGCATTAACATAAATCTGTTTGGATATTAACATTACTTAAGACCTGTGAAGATCCGGGGTAGAATAGGTCTTCAGCAACCCATGCTTGCCGTAAAAGGCGACTATGCTTGTAGTAAGAGGCGACTAACGGGATCGGGTGGTCAGGCTCGCTGACTTAGTTGATACATGTCATCGATCCCAATTGTGTGGATTGATGCTCATGATGTCAATCACTGGATTGTCTGGTCCAGACTCGATTATTTACAGACAGCAGTCATATACCTGGAATATTGCTGAGTGCAGCTTTAAACAACAAACAAACAAACAACATTACTTAACATACCGGTCCCTAAATATGGAATCAGTATATGTTTCATTAAGGTTGCCATTTTGAGCCCAAAGTACATAGACTGTGGAATGGCTTTTAACCCCCAAATCCAATGAGACATAACAGTCCCATGTGATGTTTATGGAGTGTTTTTACCTATATGTACACAGTGGGCCAATGTTTCATCATCCCAGACTGATCACATGCACACTGCCTGTAGCTAGAAGCAGAGAGGTGAGCTGGGTGCAGTCATCAATCCTCGGGCTGTTGCTGGGGCTGGTTGATGTAAACATAATCATGATAATTAGTCACCCAGAGTACAATCTATGACACTGAACCAAAGCATTGTTTACTTGGTACCTTTAGAACTAGTTGTTCATTATTTTGTATTTTTTAACCAGAAATGGATTAGAATGATGAGAGTATTTTATGTCAGCTGTGATAAATTTATATTTATGCAGTGTTGAATATTTAAAAATGAGTTTTACTTTTACAGTGTAATAAATCAACACGACCATTGGGCGTGCAAAGGTAACCATCATATTGCCTGGCTGACAGCTGGCTTTGCATGCCGCACGGTATCATCGCATTTTATCAAAAGTGTTACAACGTTCTTATTTCTTCACACAGTGTAACCAAATTGTATGACATTCAACTTGAGTTGATTGTCTTTCCAACAGTCAGCAAATCCAAAAGATCAATGCACTGCCTAGCCATAGGTAAGAGTGCCGGTATTATAAGTTTGCCACTTTTCAACATTAATCGTAACATGGATGCACCCATCTTCCTGAGGCAAGAGAGTTAACTGACTATAAAAGTCCAGTTTCCACCCTTGCCGAACTAGGCTGGTATTATGGAGTTACATTTTGGCTGGACTAACGAGTCTATGCATAGTCCAATCAAAATCTCGCAACAGAATCAAAATCCAGTTTGTAAACTGCCGTGCCGATTTCGGTCGATTGCAGGATTTGCAAAGCATGTGCATCGCCAAGTCATGGTCAACAGATATTTTCCAAAACTTTTCATGCTTTTTAAAAATTTGCTTGCGTGATTTGATGCACCTCGCGATGTAAGACCCGTTTTATCTCAATATAGATCTTGATTATCGATCAGATCGTCTTGACTGGGCGCCGCCATTTTGTTTAAACAAATGCAAGTGATGGAATCGAATTGGTCCATAGGAGAGGCTTAGAAGGGATGTAACTCATAATAACCACTCGTGGCGCTACGATCGAGCCCAGGAATTCCAGCCAAGTTCAGCAAGGGTGGAAACTGGACTTTCACAGTCAGTTAACTCTCTTGCCTTGGGAAGATGGGATGCCCCTGAATGTGGCAAGTAAAGTCAAGTAAGCGCCCTTGTTTGAAATATTAATGTCCAATAATTCATGTCATTGGAAAGTACAAATCCTAATGGTGATAGACATTTCACATTTATTTTGAAATACACAGTCATTGAGTATTTGCGTGAGTTATATTTACCGATAAAAAAATCATGATGAAATGGTCAGGGTTTTGGATGTCAAAACAACATTGACGGAAGTCGTGATTAGTCCAAACACTGTTTCAAAGATTATGTTAGAATACGAATTACAGTTTGGACCATATATCTTGATGAAAACCCAGTTACCGTACATCTATACAGGTTTCAGTGTCAGTGTTCTTTCTTTAGTGATAAAAAAAAATTCAGGGTGCATTGACATCGCACATTTATAAAGGACAAAAAGTAAAAAATGGCCAAATCATCCAATGGAGATTGCTCAATATCAGACATTATTATTGTCATTTCTAAAGAATTAACAAGATTATACTGGCATACTATCACCCAATATTAAGTACACATAGATTCGGTCAATATCGTTGAAACATTTTCATTTGCAGCAATTCCTATCAACAATCCTATTTTCGATTACTCGTAACTGGGTCGCCTTATGATTTAAGAATCGCGTCGTTTTGAAATGACCCCGATCGCTTATACTTTGGGTTTAATGAAGTGTTGAAAATGGTTTAGATCTAATTACTAAAAAAGCTCTGTATAAAATTTGAGTTACACGATGTTAAAGCTGAGATGATTAGGGTGATGATGGTTATAATTTTGCACAAGCAGTGTTTGACATCTTAATTCAAAGTTGAAGAGGGACAATTTTACGGAACCATATATGGTCCCGTGGCAATGGCAGGGTGTGAAAGGCAAGCAGGTATTTCCAACGCTAATTTTTCACATGTCGTGTTCTGATGTCTTTTTTGTATTGTCAACATGCGTCAATTATCCTTTGGCTATGACAATAAAATAAAATAACAGATCATATTTCCATTATACAGTGATCCCTCGCTATTGGGCTCTTCGATAAAGCGCTACCTCGGTTACTACGCGCGGTATCGCATGGCTCCCACACATATAGATATGAATACATATACATATAACATTTTTCAGCTCTGCACAATCATTGCCACTATTGCCTGTGGTCATGTTAATCAATTACTATAGGTTTATGGTTGCAACCATCATGGTCGTTAAAACAATATGCTTCAATCAGAATATATAACTAATAGTATCCATTTCATCCTATTAGTGTTGTCTCAAGCCCCATAAAAACCAGATGAATCTACAGAGCTTGGGGCCCCGGGGCTGTGTTTGGATTGCTTCCTTGTACAGAGCTGATCGTACTCAAAGCGCTTTATTTATGTGTGTGTAAATAATGATATATATGAGGAACAAGGATGATGTAATATCTAGCAACAGACTGGGTATATAAGGAGGATTGTGGGTAAATGTTACAGAGTTTCTGTACCTGACTTACCTGAGCACAAGTGGACCAGTTGATTGGATTAGTGGATTAGCCTTGTGGATTGTTTTGGAGCATTGATCAAAATGGATGTCTCAGCATGGAGTTTTGGTAAAGTTTGGGACACAGATAACATGAGTTTGAAATTTAACAACAATTACATGTGCTGGAACTGTATACAGGTAACTGATTTGATTATTTGATTATTTTCAAAATGTTCGCGATTGTGTGAAATGTTGCTGGTCATACGGAGCTTGTGATCTTGGCTATGCATACATAACCAGGTTTCAGATTAGTCAAGTTTCTATTACATTGATTAATTGTCATTTAGAATATATTTTTTCTTCAAATTTGGTAATGGCATAGAAGGATGTCTATGTCATTCTGATCTAGTGGTGAATTATATCTAGTTTGAATGAAGCGTTATTCTGTTATCGGTCATCATTGAGAAGTATGTTTGTTTACACATAACTAATCAAGTTGAGTCCTACTGTGATATAGGATTATTTAACTGTCAATGAACTATAGCCCCAGGCCATTGTGCAAGCCATTTGTATATAAACAGTTCAGGACACTGTTTCACATATTTGCTGGATTTATTTTGGTAATTGATACCTGCTTAAGTTTGCATCTTTGAAACACTGGTCATACAATGACATCAGAGAAATTTGTAAAGGTATAATGTCGTATCGATCTGCGCAAAGATGGACATTGTGGGATTTAAAATTACTACAACTTTAGACCCTTGTATCTATTGGGAGTTAGGGGCGGTCGGGTAGCCTAGTGGTTAAAGCGTTTGCTCTTCGTAGAAGACCCTGGTTCGAATCCCGACATGGGTACAATGTGTAAAGCATATGTGGTGTCACCAGCCGTGATATTGCTGGAATATTGCTAAAAGTGGCGTAAACCCATTCTCACTCACTATTGGGATTGAAAATTAAAAAAATATATATAAAACAAAAACAGAATGTATGTATTCAGATGGTCTTGATCAAGATGTGTACAGTTTTGTTAGCTTCAGGGATGATGAGAGTGCCTATCTATTGGGAATGATATTTAACTGGTGTGCATGTGGTCCAGGCTAGGAAGTACGTCCATGACGTACCCATGTGTGTGGCAATATGCTGGTGACATTATCTTTATGTGTTACAGGGGCAGTCAGGTAGACTAGTGGTTAAAGCATTAGCTCATCACCCCGAAAACCCCGTTTCGATTCCCGACATGGGTACAATGTGTGAAGCCCATTTCTGGTGTTCCCCGCCGTGATATTGCTGGAATATTCCAAAAGGCGGCATAAAATCAAACTCACTCACTTATGTGATGAAGGACATCCATGACACCCACCCACCCATGTGCGTGGCAATATGTTATTGCATTATCTTTTTGAGTTACAAGTGAGGAAGGTGGGCACGGTTGGCCCAGTCGTCTAAGGCGCTGCGATTCGCTGTGCAGAGTTGCGTCCCTTGGGCATACCAGAAACCTATGATTGTGGGTTCGAATCCCGGTTCGCCCCGATTATGTTCCTAGGTATGTCAGCACCATACCTGTGCTCGTGGGTTTCACAGAATTGGTAAACGTCTGAGACCTGCATCACTTCGGGCTTTCCACCCACATTAAGCTGACACGCCGCAATATTACTGGAATACTGTTAAAAGCGGCATTAAACCCAACTCACTCACTACAAGTGAGGAAGGATGCTCAGGACACCCACATAACCACCTAGGACATTATCTTTATGTGTTTCAGACTGGGAAGGACAGCCATGAGACCCACCCACCCATGTATGTGGAGGCGTTCAAGGACAATGAGGGAAGCACCAGTCTCATCTTCTCGCTAGATGAGAAGGTTGGAGCTCTCGCGGAGGCTCTCAAAATCCTGGAGGTGAGGCTCTTGCTGTTTCTATCAAAGAGTAGTAGAGGGGCAAGGCTATGGTAGATTAGCTTGGAAGTTGCAACACTGCTTACTGGTTAACACCCAGGGGGATTCCAGGATAGAATACCCCCAGTCGCCTTTGCTGGACGTAACAGGTGACCACCCGTGAAGATCCGGGTTAAAATAGGTCTTCAGCAAACCGTGTTTGCCGTAAAAGGTGACTGTTTATCATACGAGGCGACTAATGGGATCGGGTGGTCAGGCTCTCTGACTTAGTTGATGCATGTCATCGTATCCCAGTTGCATGGATCGTATCCCAGTTGCTAATGATATCAATCACTGGTTCATCTGGTCCAGACTTGATTATTTACAGACTGCCATTATATAGCTGGAATATTGCTGAGTGTGGCTTAAACAACAAACAATAACGTAAGAGGTGACAAAACGGTTGGGTTGTCAGCTTTGGCGTCCTTGCTGCTTGTCTGTCATTGTACCCCAACCATTGTGTATCTTTGCTAACATAATCCATCACTGGATTGCCTGGTCCACACGCAATGTAATATAATACATTCAATTAAACATGAGCAAAAATGTTCTTATGTATTTCCGTAATATATTTTGTCTTTGATGTGTATATTATGCAACACAAGAGTCGTTGAAACATTTTGAGATTAACTGTGATTGTTTGCTGTGAGGGAGTTTTTGGCTTATTACTTTTATCATAATTCCCTCTGAGGTCAACACACTTTTGCTAATGATGCTGGAGTGCCTGGATCCCACTGGTCCTTCTGGTGGTGTAAAAAACAGTGCCAAATCTGCAGAACTTTTCAGCCTCCCCTCATATATGAATCATACAATAGGCTTTAAAAATAAAAGAATTGGTTCTCAGGCAATGGCTTTTGAAAATATAGTGCAGGGGCCGGTGTGTGTGTTTTTTCTTAGCTGTTCAAACTAGTATGTAACCAAATAAACAGTTGTGTAACCAAATAAACAATTGTGTAAATCAACTGGGGAAAGGGCCTCCCTACATAAATGTATACCTTGATAAGTAAAATACTGGAATACAGTGTTTGACTACTGTTGGACTTTGAATATTTCAGGATTTTTATATTTAAAAAAAAATTGAAATAAAAATGAAACGTACAGCGAACTTTATGATGATGCGGACTGTGCCTGAGAACCAAGACTATTATTTTTTTAGTCATAGTCAAACACTTTATATTTTACTTTTCCCAGTTCTCAAATTTTGTCAATCTCGTCAGGAACATGAAAGTATATCAGTTCAGCATCTTGTGGGGTTGGTCACATCTAAACAAAAATGTGTTTCTTATATGTGGGTCCAAAAGATCAGTCAGGAAAAAGCATGATAAGGCACCGGTCATTTTTTATAAGGGCGGGTCACAGGTTTTTATACATAAATGCTTCTCATATTTGGAGATGACCATCCCCATGTCCTTGTACATTTTTGTCATGACCATCCCTGAAAATACAAAATGCAAAAGGATTTTAGATTTTATTGTAAAACGTTCATTTTTTCATGACCCTCCCCAAATAATGTATTCGACGTAATAAGCGCCCAGGGTGCTCTCAAAATTAGAAATAGGGGTCTCTTATTAGAATATAATTTTGGTGAAAAAAAAAACAGTTGAAAAATAGTAAATTTTGTTGTTTATGCTGACAGCCTGAAATGAAACAAAAGAAAAGTCAGATACATTTTCCAGAATTTAATTGCCCATTATTAAGGGTGCATATAACACACGAGTGAGCATTTATACATGAATAAAAAAGTCTTGTGTACATTGATCAATCGGAAGGGGTGCTAATTGGGATTGTTCACTAGCTAACATATTAGCAAATATCGCTCTGGGCGCTTATTAGAGCGGGGCGCTTATAATGTTGAATACGGTATGTGTATTATTTATTATGACCCTTCCTTAGAGACTGTCATATTTTGGGTGACCCTCCCCTGATTCCCCCTGGCACACCCACCCCTATAATAAATGACTGTTCCTTAACGACATAAAATTATTTGAGTTGGATGTTTGAGGAGGTTGGTTGTGTGTGGACAGACAAACAAGTTTGATTAATTTGGCCCAAAATGTACTAACCATACCTGTTGAACATTTCAGGATTATAAAGTGAACTTGCATCATATTGAGTCTCGACCAGCAAAAGATGATCCAAAACGCTACGAGTTCTATGTAGCGTGCGATAACTTGACCGGGGGACTAAAGGAAGCCACGGACAGCTTGCGACACAAGGCACGGGATCTGACAGTCCTGTCACGCAGTCTCGGAGAACAAAACGATGAAGGTACGTCATAAAAACAAAGGCCTTTCAAGTGGGTTTTATACCCTGACAGCCTCCTCAGTTTAGCCACACCAGTAAATCTTCTTGTTTTATTGACAAGCTTACCATCAATTTTGGAAATTTTGAGTGGTATGTTTTGGAACTCAAATTAATCTTGAAAACACTTTGGGATTCTAAGAAGAAAATCCATAAAACAAGAAATTATATTGATATGGCATTGCTGTTGACACAATGAAGGAGGCTGTTCCTGGGATGGTAGTTGGAGATACGTGATAGATGGAGATAGGTGGTCATTGGAGATAGGTGGTAGTTGGAGATAGGTGGTAGTTGGTAGTTGGAGATAGGTGGTAGTTGGAGATAGATGGTAGTTGGAGATAGGTGGTACTTGGAGATAGATGGTAGTTGGTAGTTGGAGATAGGTGGTAGTTGGAGATAGATGGTAGTTGGAGATAGATGGTAGTTGGAGATAGATGGTAGTTGGAGATAGATGGTAGTGGGAGATAGGTGGTAGTTGGTGGTACTTGGAGATAGGTGGTAGTTGGAGATAGATGGTAGTTGGAGATAGGTGGTAGCTGGAGATAGGTGGTAGTTGGAGATAGGTGGTAGTTGGAGATAGTTGGTAGTTGGAGATAGGTGGTAGTTGGAGATAGTTGGTAGCTGGAGATAGTAGTAGCTGGAGATAGGTGGTAGCTGGAGATAGTTGGTACTTGGAGATAGTTGGTAGTTGGAGATAGGTGGTAGTTGGAGATAGTTGGTAGCTGGAGATAGTAGTAGCTGGAGATAGGTGGTAGCTGGAGATAGGTGGTAGTTGGAGATAGTTGGTAGTTGGAGATAGGTGGTAGTTGGAGATAGTTGGTAGCTGGAGATAGTAGTAGCTTGAGATAGTGGTAGCTGGAGATAGTTGGTACTTGGAGATAGGTGTTAGTTGGAGAAAGGTGTTAGTTGGAGATAGGTGTTAGTTGGAGATAGGTGGTCATTGGAGATACGTGGTAGTTGGAGATAGGTGGTCATTTGAGATACGTGATAGTTTGAGATATGTGGTAGTTGGAGATAGTTTGTAGTTGGAGATAGTGGTAGTTGGAGATACGTGGTAGTGGGAGATATGTGATAGTTGGAGATAGTTTGTAGTTGGAGATAGATGGTAGTTGGAGATACATGGTAGTGGGAGATAGATGGTATTTGGAGATATGTAGTAGGTGGAGATAGGGGGTAGCTGGAGATAGGTGGTAGTTGGGTGGTATTTTATCCTTTACATTTGGGGACATTTTTATATCATTTCTTGGATCATAGATTTTATTGTGGATTTTTTGCTTCTGTCAGTTGGTATTTAGTTCAGTATTCTGCCCACTTCCTAAGATACACATGACACTCATCTCAGGCGTGTCCCCCTTTACAATTATGTAGTTGTACTAGTTGCTTAGTTACACTGATGTGAATACAGAATGTAGAATTGCTTGTTTGAGAAAAATGGTGCCCAATGGTTTGTCGACCTCCCCCCACTCAGCATCCATGTTATAGATGAGGTGGCAGCTACTGGTTAGAACACAACATACTGATGAATAATGTAAGGGAATGGCTGTAAAATCACAGACACTTGGAGCAAAAATATACTTGTGTACCCAAAGATAAAAGATGCGAGCAAACAAGTGATCACATCAGATGTTCATATTTCACACAGGTACAAATGTTTATATCTGATACTGAAGACATTATCTTTATGAGGTTAACATTGAACTTTGGTGATGTTCCCCTTTTTTTAACCATCAGTATATCTCGTTTTGCATCTGTTGGATATTGCATGGTTTGGTGTTTATATCATCCTGTGATTGTCAACCTAATCGCTTATTAACCGTTTGATTGGCATTCTAAAAGTTGGTGAGCATAAAGATAAACGTACAACTTTATGGATAACAACTTCTGGTTTATTGCATATAGCGATTTTTTATGTAGATTCTGACACCGATGCAGTCACTTATTTTTTATCCATCAGTATATCTCTTATTGCATCTGTTTGGATACTGCATGGTTTTGTGTTTATATCATCCAGCTTGATAACGGTGTAAGAATCTTTATTATGCCTCAAAGTGAGATTGACCAATCAGGGAGCAGAACTACTGACCCCACATGAGCCCGTATACCGTCAGTAAAAATCCAAGATGGTTGTTACTGACCTAATGTGACACCGTATACGGCAACTGAAGAGACCATGACTTATAATATCAAACTGTCCTAAATGCAATAAACCAGAAATTGTTATCCATAATTTTGTAGGTTTTTCTTACTAATGGCTTATTTACATATTCCAACCATTAATCATCCCGGGAAACAGCTGTCATACTATTAAACAAGAGGCATGGCTTTCTTCATTACCTATACCTATTTGTAATCCCATACATTTTGATCAGGAATATGACACTTATATGGATTTATTAGTTATGTGTGGATAGTTTCATTATGATATCAAATACGATGTACACAGGTACATGTATTGAGTGGGAGCCTAGATCTGATTGGCTGAAGTTTAGAATAGGATTCAGGTATAGAATTCTTTTGAACTTTTCACAGGGTATCAATTGTTAATTGGTTTGTATTTGTTTTCGGTTCCTAATTAAAAATCATTGTGTTGTATTTGTTATACATTTTATAGTTTTGGTTTGATTAAAATTGAAAAGAAAACAAATTGATTATGTCTGTTTTATATTAACATAACAAAGAATTTTGTTTTTTGATTTATAATATTTCATAGTGGCATTATACTTAAATTACAGCTGTTTGTATAGTGTGCAGCATCAATTTAAAATAACACTGTTTTTAAATTAAATTCATAAATATGTAATGTTTATACGAATTGTTATTACTACAGTTCGTAATTTTGCTGATGTAATTTTATAAGTAATTATTACATTTTAATTTTAAGGTGCTTGTGATTTAGTTGATTATTATATACTACTCAAAAGAAGTTATAGAACACACAATTCTTTCATATTGTTATAGTTAAATCAGGTATTGACCGAACCCGTGAAGATCCGGGTTAGAGTAGGTTTCAGCAACCCATGCCTGCTGTAAGAGGCGACTAACGGGATCGTGTGGTAAGGCTTATTGAATTTGTTTATGCATGTCATCCTATCCCAATTCCATGGATCGATGCTCATGATGTCAATCACTGGATTGTCTGGTCCAGACTCGATTATTTACAGACCGCCCTCATATAGCTGGAATATTGCTGAGTCCGGTGTTAAACAACAAACAAACAAAATGTATTGACAATACATGTTGTGTGTAATTGTATATTGTCAAAACCTGGGAAACTCCGACTTTGGTAATTAAACCATACAGTTATTATCCCTAACATGTTGAGTAGTATACTTTATAGTTTATGAACCATTGTTTGTTCCACACAGATACTGACAGTGGTAATATATTATAGAGAACCAGTGCATTGTTTGTGACTATGTGTGCTCTCTAAGATTTAGTTTAGAATATTACTGACAAAATACCATTGAGTATTACTTTTGAAGAGTTAGGCAATGGAACTTAATAAATGTTTCTCATCAGAAGCTTATTTTCTGGACCATTGTATCTTTTTTTGCTGTTAATCATCAATAGGCCAAAAAAATGTAACTATGCAACCAGCATGGAATGTATTGTTTGATAGGCATTACTTAGAAGTTGACAACGGTATAAGGATCTATACCAAAACATCGCTTTTTACAGTATTAAAGAAGTTGTTATCTACACAATTGTGTCTACCTTGTCAGCATGGAGTGGCATGAGCAAGGGAAGATCTTTCAGTAAACTCCAGACACCTTTGACAATATCAAAACCGATTACTTACCAAACCAAACAAAACTTACTGGTCACATGGTTTAAGTGTCATATATGATGATGAGAAAGATTTGAGCTTTTCAATGCCTAATTATGTACAAACTAACAATGTTGTATTGTGTTTAGTGTTCTGTGTTTGGTGTTTACTAACACTTGATGTATTTGTATCTGCATGTTTTCCGTATGACCAACAGGTCCTAGTTTAAGGATTGGTAGGGGGATAACAGGTCAGTTGGATTATTATTTGCTTTTGCTGAGTCAGCAGGAATGGTGACAGGTGAACTCCCTCTGTCAATAGTCAATGACTTATGCTGTACATTGTTCCATATTAACTTTTGGACTCTTACAGATGGAAAATGAATTAAAATTATGGCCAGGTTGATTGGACGGAAATTTTTCATTAACTTTTTTGGAATTATATTTTGAATTCAAAATTGTTAATTCATGCAGTAGAACCAAACAAATGTTTTTTGTATCCTATCTATTGGCATATTGCTGGAAAAAAGTCTGCAAATTGAATTAAATTTATGACATTTTTTGTTTGTGTTTTAGTAGACACAAGAAGATGATATTATTATGTCATTTCATTTATTATCCTGAGATTTGCATAATTTGCATTATGGCTCTGGTCAGTATTAGAACCAGGGATGCCCCATTGTAAGTTTTACTTTGTGTGCTTGTATACACTACTACAAAGCATGTCAAGTCTTGATGATACGTTTCTTCCTCTTCCTCTTTTCTACTTGAGTTACTCTGGTAACTCCCTTTTAATGGCAAAATCCTAAAGAGAAATCAGGTTTCTAAAATAATGTCTCTATTGGAAGTATTTTTAAAAAAATGTTTGTATTTGCATGCCTAAAGGATATGATGGTGAGGGAGTATGACTTTGCACTCTGACATAATGTATTCTTTTCATGCAATCACTTCTCTTTCTTAGGAAATGTCTTGCACCATGCATTTACATTTCGTACCTTTTTTTACGATTCTTAATAGTGCAGAACTTGATAATTTTATCTGCTGAAAAGGCAGGATGAGGACAAGCATTTTATGTCAAGGTATATGTTAAGGATGAATATGCATTCAAGGAAGAGAATATATGGATGTCAACTTCTTTATTATGAGGAACACAACGTTTCGGAGTATATGCTTACTCTTTCATCAGGAGAATGAATGCTATGAAGCAGAGAGCATATATATGTACATGTAAGGACAACAAAATTAATAAGATAACAAAAGGTGGAAAGATTAATAAATATATACTCCGAAATGTTTTTCGTAAGTAGAATTGTACGGAGGATCAGGAGAAACGGACAACTGATCTGTGATGAAAACCTATCCCCTTCCTGTCTGACTCAACACATACTAAGTTGCTATTTGTAGACCCTAACAGCTTGATGTCAATGTTTGTAGTACAGTATGGTCTCTTGTCTGCTTTAAATGTATTTCTCTGTACGTTTCACTTTGCTGTACATGTAATATGTTATTAAGTGTCATTCCTTCAATTCAGTGAGTCATTACTTCTGACTATTCCCTCTCTCTGAATTCCCTCTCTCTGCATTCCCTCTCTCCATTCCAACATCTATTCCCTCTCTCCATTCCAACATCCATTCCCTCTCTCCATTCCAACATCTATTCCCTCTCTCCATTCCAACATCCATTCACTCTTTCCATTCCAACATCCATTCCCTCTCTCCATTCCAACATCTATTCCCTCTCTCCATTCCAACATCCATTCCCTCTCTCCATTCCAACATCCATTCCCTCTCTCCATTCCAACATCCATTCCCTCTCTCCATTCCAACATCCATTCCAACATCCATTCCCTCTCTCCATTCCAACATCCATTCCGACTCTCCATTCCAACATCCATTCCCTCTCTCCATTCCAACATCAAATCCCTCTCTCAATTCCAACATCCATTCCCTCTCTCCTTTCCAACATCCATTCCAACATCCATTCCCTCCCTCCTTTCCAACATCCATTCCCTCTCTCCATTCCAACATCCATTCCCTCTCTCCATTCCAACATCCATTCCAACATCCATTCCCTCTCTCCTTTCTAACATCCATTCCCTCTCTCCATTCCAACATCCATTCCCTCCCTCCTTTCCAACATCCATTCCCTCCCTCCTTTCCAACATCCATTCCCTCTCTCCTTTCCAACATCCATTCCCTCCCTCCTTTCCAACATCCATTCCCTCTCTCCTTTCCAACATCCATTCCCTCCCTCCTTTCCAACATCCATTCCCTCCCTCCTTTCCAACATCCATTCCCTCCCTCCTTTCCAACATCCATTCCCTCTCTCCATTCCAACATCCATTCCCTCCCTCCTTTCCAACATCCATTCCCTCTCTCCATTCCAACATCCATTCCCTCCCTCCTTTCCAACATCCATTCCAACATCCATTCCCTCCCTCCTTTCCAACATCCATTCCCTCCCTCCTTTCCAACATCCATTCCCTCCCTCCTTTCCAACATCCATTCCCTCTCTCCATTCCAACATCCATTCCCTCCCTCCTTTCCAACATCCATTCCCTGTCTCCATTCCAACATCCATTCCCTCCCTCCTTTCCAACATCCATTCCAACATCCATTCCCTCCCTCCTTTCCAACATCCATTCCCTCCCTCCTTTCCAACATTCATTCCCTCTCTCCATTCCAACATCCATTCCCTCTCTCCATTCCAACATCCATTCTTTCAGTGCTTCTCTCCATTTCAGAAGTAGTTCTTGAGTGATTTCCATTAAAAAAGCAACAACAAAAAACAGTTGCCATATATTGCTTGAAATGTGTTTATTACCTGTCCGGAAAACCCACTGGAGGTGTGAAGTATAGTACTTAGATAAGAAACAAGATCATGACAAAAATAACGCTCATGTTTTATCATAAACTTAAAATCTGTGAAAATATAACACCTGGGTTCAAATGGACTAAATTCTTGATAACCTGACACATGTTTTGACAAACACTTATTGATAAGCAAACCACTCCTTTGTATTTTCATGACTCTCTACACGTACCAACTGTGTTTAAAACTGTGTTTCATTGTAAGTGTAATTTGCCATGAAAAATAATGTTTTTTGTATTTACGAAAAAATATCAGTCCCATGTGAAAGGTTTAAATACTATGATATCATTAAATAATGACATACCATATCTATATATTGGTTGCTTTCCTTTTAGCTATAACAAATGGCAAAGAAATATTTAATTGGTGAAAAAAATAATGATGTATCTGGCAAATATATACTACTCAAAAGAAGTTAAGGATCACCCGATTCTTTCATATTACTACAGGTAACCTCATTTCAGGGCAGATTAATAATAGTAATATAAAAGAATCGATGATCCTTAAATTCTTTTGAGTAGTATATTTGATTGCATTATCAGGTCTTCAGTAAGAGTGTGAAGAGAGTTCATATTTTTTTCTTGAATGCTTTCAGTTCCATGGTTTCCGCGTCGAGTGAAGGAATTGGACAGGTTCGCCAATCAGATCCTCAGTTATGGAAGTGAACTCGAGGCTGATCATCCGGTCAGTAGAACCATTTGAGTGCTTGTTTGTTGTTTGAAGCTGCGCGCAGCAATGTTACAGCTATATGACAGTGGTCTGTAAATAATCAAGTTTGGACAAGACAATCCAGTGATTGATATCATGAACATCGATCTATGCAATTTGAATACAATGATATGCATCCACCAAGTCGACGAGTCAGACCACCCGATCCCGTTAGTCGCCTCTTACGACAGTCATCGTCGCCTTAAGGCAAGCATGGGTTGCTGAAGACCAATTCTGACCTGGATTTTCACGGGTCATTAGTAGAGCTGAATTTTAGGACAGTGATATTGATATTATTAGGTTGCTAGTGTTTGACATATGTTTCCTATGTAAAACAATCTTCCTGAGGCAAGAGAGTTAACTGACTATAAAAGTCCAGTTTCCACCCTTGCCGAACTAGGCTGGTATTATGGAGTTACATTTTGGCTGGACTAACGAGTCTATGCATAGTCCAATCAAAATCATGCAGCAAAATCAAAATCCGGTTCATAAACTGTCGTGTAGATCTCGGTCGATTGCAGGATTTGCGAAGAATGTGCACCACCAACTCGTTGTCAGCAGATATTATCCAAATCTTTTCATGTTTTTAATCAAGGTGTTCACATGATTTGATGCATTTCACGATGTAAGAGCCGGTTTATCACAATATAGATCTTGATTATCGATCAGATCGTATTGACCGGGCGCTACCATTTTGTGTGAAGCAAATGCAAGTGATATGAGAGGTGGAATCTGATTAGTCCATAGGAGAGGCTTAGAAGGGACATAACTGGTAATAGCCACTGGTGGCGCTACAATCGAGCCCAGTAATTCCAGCCTAGTTCGGCAAGGGTGGAAACTGGACTTTTATAGTCAGTTAACTCTCTTGCCTCGAGAAGATGATGTAATCCTTCCTTCGGCTCTTCAGATGATAGGTTATAGGACAGGATATAGCAGTGAATGGATAGAAATGTGAATGCAGAACCTTCTAATAGGCAGGTTGTATACTCCCCAGGGAGCTGAGAATACAAAATGAAGGTACACTGATGGGACTAAGAAAACTAATGAGTGATGATGTGAATAAGCTTTGAGTGGATTAATCTCTGTTTTGTAAGGTGACCAGGATCATGATGTCATCTGTCAATTTTGATATTATTATTACTGTTGTTATTGTGATTACTCTTTGTTTCTCATTATCACTGTGGTGTAGTGTAAGCAGAGTACAATGAATGGCTCAGAATATCCAAAGCTGTGAGATCGCAGTGTAATTTTAAGAAGCTCTCATAAAATGTTCCAAATGCTTCATCTCCTCTGTCAGTACTTGTATTCTTTAATGAAGACAGAATTGCCCGGGGCGGATCCAGCATTTGGAAAAGAGAGGGGTCCAAAATATCAACATCCTCTCTCAGATAGTTTTACTGCCTACAACATACGACACTTGGTTTTCCAAAGGGGAAGAGGGGGGATCCGGTACCCCCGCCTCGGGATCTGCCTATGTTGCCTCATGGATTTCAACTTGTTTCAAACTGCCACGTTGTCAAAACATGTGTCAGGTTATCAAGAATTTAGTCCATTTTAACCCAGGTGTTAAATTTTCACAGATTTTAAGTTTATGATAAAACATGAGCGTTATTTTTGTCATGATCTTGTTTTCATAAAAAATCATTAAGTTTCTAAAATGGCACTAAATATTGTTTTCTTTTGCTTATCACTGTACATTTTTCCAGAAATAAGATGAGAGTAGGGGTATTTCTCCAGCAGTAAGATGGCACAGGAGTGAGTCCATTGCATCAGCATCACAATCATACGAGAGAGGCCTATTTCTCCAACAGATTTCATTGGGCTTTGGTGATTTTTTTTAACCAATAGCTAAGTGTCAACTACAAAAATATGCAAAAGATTATTTAGTTTTTTGAACTGGTGAATTTGTTCCAGGGATTTAAGGATCAGGTGTACAGGGCTCGGAGGAAGGAGTTTGCTGATATAGCATTTCACTACAAGCAGTGAGTATATTTACTTCACAAAGGTGAAATGGGAGACAGTAAGGGCCACTATATGGTATCACCTTGGAAAATGAGGTATTGTTCATTCATATAAGTAAAAAATAAGTGAATAAAATATCCTTGCCAACTTTCAGATAATTTTTTTCTGCAGTTGCTCAATATGAGAGGAAAAGTTTAGGACTCTTTGAGTCTTCACCCAAAGATGCTCTTTTCAGATTTTTTTTCATTTTATTTATGTTCTTAATTTACCAAACTGACAATACTAATCACATTAGTTTAAAAACGTTGTTTTTATTTTCATTTCAACAGCTGGATAAATTAGTATATTAATAAAAAAGCTCTAAAATGTAAAAAATAATGTTCGAAAATAAATGAATCTCTGATCAAGATTTATAAAAGGCTCTTACTTCAGATGGACAATTACTTTGTTGATTAACTTAGGAACGTCTGAGTTGCAATTGTTCTAGGATCATATATTGACAGGCAAACTAATATTTAGTTTAATTCTCCAGTGGGACTCCTATCCCTCATGTGACATATTCGGAGGAAGAGAAAAAAACATGGTGAGTTACAAGCTGTCTACACTATCGATGCCATCATATACAACTATTTAACTGGAGCAGGGGTCTCAGTTGTCTAAAGTGCTGCAATTATGTGTGTGGCCATTAGGCATAGCAGAACCCTATGATCATGGATTCAAACAAATCCCAGATTTGCCCTGATCATGTGTTTCTCTCTCTCTCTCTCTCGCTCTCTCTTTGTCTCTCTCTCTCTTTGTCTCTCTCTCTCTCTCTTCTCTCTCTCTCCCTCTCTCGCTCTCTCTTTGTCTCTCTCTCTCTCTTTGTCTCTCTCCCTTCTCTCTCTCTCCCTCTCTCTCTTTTCTCTCTCTCTCTCTTTTCTCTCTCTCTCTCTTTTCTCTCTCTCTCTCTCTCTCTGATGTTAAAGCCATCTGAAGAAATGATGTAAAATGTCATAAAACATGCCCACTTACGGGAAGTTCGCCTATGCCAGTGTGTGTGTGTCTGTCTGTCTGTCTGTCTCTCTCACTGATGTTAAAGCCATCTGACTCACTAACATGTTGAAGGTAGTGACCAATAAGGCTGGGATGGTACACCAACTGTGCGATCTGATACGTATCACCATACCTTGATCACGATACTTGTATGTGCTCGTTTCTGTGGTGCGTAACCCATATTTTTAATAGACAGGATATTCAGATACCTGGCACACTGAAGATTTACAGCTGGCAGTGTCAAGTTTGGCACAATGGATGGAAATATTTACTTATTCACTACTAATTAGTGTTTGGTGCAACATTTATTAAAGAATACATTTAAGGTAAGCATCGATACTTTTTACTTAGTGTGCAACTGTGATAGATACTTGTATCGAGAAGTGAAATATCGCGATGCATCAGTGCATCGTCCCACCACTAGTGCCCAACCCATTGCTTACTGAGATGTAGTACAACATTGACTCTAACAGGGGCACCATCTTCCGGGAGCTGACGAAGCTGTACCCGACCCACGCCTGTCAGGAGTTCAACCACATCTTCCCCCTGCTGGTGGACAACTGCGGCTTCAGGGAGGACAACATCCCCCAGCTGGAGGACATCTCGCAGTTCCTCAAAGGTAAGGCGCCGTTGTGGCGTATCTGTTTCCGCTCTAGTGGCGGAAAAACCCAACTCACTCACTAACTCACTCACTGAAGTTGTCTGTCTCTAACAGGTTATCAGTTTAGTTTGCCAGGTCCCTTGCCAGTTAAGATCAGTTAAGACAATGTTACACATATTCACTTTGATGGGTTTTTTTAGACTGTACTGGATTCACACTGCGGCCAGTTGCCGGACTTCTGTCATCACGTGACTTCCTGGCTGGTCTGGCTTTCCGGGTTTTCCACTCCACCCAGTACATCCGCCACCCATCTAAGCCCATGTACACACCAGAGCCGTGAGTAACAGAGACAAGATTTCTAATGGTTTCTGAATATCAGCACTTGAAAATATTATGGAACAAATGTTTATGTACGCAGGAGCGCAGCGGCTAATTTTAACTGCAAGCAAAACTAAATTCATGAAGGCCGGCTAGTTGGGTTTGGGGTCATGCTCCCCCAGAAATGTTTTAATTAGATGTTCTTGAACTCTATTTCCTGCATTTTGGGACCATTTATGTCAGCTTTATTTGTAGCAAAAATGGGTAATTTATTTATTATTGTTTTTTAGTAATTTATATACATATATATATATGTATATGTGTCTATATTGTTCATTTGTGTACGTAAAGATTATGATTTTCAAGTTAGACAATAAATATCAAGTTCCTCCTTGTAGAGTTTGAGTGAATAATTTTGTGCATAGATGCTAAATTTAGGTTTACTTATAAAAATATGCGCTTTTTCTTGGTGTAAAAATAAATGAGTTTTCTTTTTGGTGTAAAAATTTGCTATTCTGCTACAATAGTAGTTTTGTCCCTGATACATGACAGTGGTGCTTAAAAAACAGTCCTCCATTATCTTGTTTATCACATCTCAGTTCAATTATGATAAATATGAACCATGTTCTGCCCTAGTTTTGTTTCGATTCTGATTCCCAAATCCAATTATATTTGTATGAGATGAATCTGGGGGATATGCCATGTAGGAGAGATGGAGATGGTAGCATCACATCCTGACTAGAGGTATGGATGCAAATGGGTCCAGGGTATCTATTATTATGGAAGGGTTCTGTTATAGCATTAGGCTTACAAAAATAAAAGAATTTGTTCTCAGGCAATGACTTCTGAAAATAAAGTGTGGGTGGGTGGTGTTCAGTTTTTTTTGCTGCTTGTTCAAACTGGTATGAAACCAATAAACTGTTGTGTACCATCAACCTGGGAAAGGGCCTGCCTAAATTAACAATCATACAAACTCCTACTGCTGCCATGACAATAAGACGAGAGTACACATGTAAAGGGAAGTAACTGCATGCTATACTTGATCGCATTGTTTTTAAGTATTCGGATTTTTAAAAAAAAATTAAAATGGAAATAAAAATGAATGTTCGACAGACTTTCTGATGATGCGGGCGGTGCCTGAGAAGGAAGACTATTATTTTGTTTAGCTTTATGTATGCTGCGCCCTGAATACATGTAATTATGGAAGTGAAGGGATATTTGCACTACTGCATAGGGCTGGGATGAGTCCAAATTTACTACCCGGGTACCCACTGTAGGTCTCAGGAAATGTCTCAAAATGTCCGAATGGGAACATTTTTAGCATAGCCCTGGCAAAACGTATTAAGATGCATGTATTAAACAATCTGGTCATACACTGAAGTTGAATTAAGTTATATCTTTATTCAACCATATGAAAAATCAGAAGGAATGGGTGCATAGTCAGAAAGAAATGCAAACATTAGTGACTTGTAGTGTAACCATGGCGTTCTAGATAATTTTACATTAAACAATATATCACGTTACTAACCACGGGTCTGGGTAGTCCTGTGGGTACCCGGGTCCCACTCAGTACCCACCCGACCCGGGTACCCGAGTTACCCGTCCCAGCCCTACTAGGGCACATGTATACAATTTTTATGAACTTGGTTATTTCTAACCCTAGAGACTTGTATGTATGTGCTGCCTGTTTCAGTGACGTATGCCATGAGCTGCTGGGGCACGTGCCCCTGTTTGCCGACCCTACCTTCGCACAGTTCTCCCAAGAGATTGGCCTGGCCAGTCTCGGAGCCCCGGAGGACTACATCCAGAAGCTGGCCACGGTGAGTCTTCACAGTCGAATCAAGCTCCTCACAGCGCGTGACACCTTCGTTACACTCTCAGTAACATCGCTGCCACCAGTATGGGCGCGGCCATTACAAGGATCTTGAAATTTGCCCTCTAACCCCATATGTAGTAACTTTTATACTTTTGTTTATGTCTTTGAAAATGCCATCATATTTCATTTTGAATAGGTTTATGACTGACCATGTTTTCCAGATGAATTTACTTTGTTGTTTTGACAATCAGATTTGTTCGAGATTGCAGCCTAACGGAAAATCAACCAACTTCTCCCTTATATTCTTACTATGTCAATTAAAGATGATACTTTTAATGAAACAGAAATTCAAATTGACAAACAAAGAAAGTAATTTATCAGCTGTAAGTGTATTCGGCGTCACGACAGTCTCACTTGTTTGTAAACATAACGGTCATTCGGTTGCGAGTTCAATTCCAAGCATGGTTGGGGCCACCTATCACCTATCAGAGGGGGTTTTTGACTGGTGGCAGCGATAGTATAGAGAGCTCCGCGAACGGCCTATCGCTGTGAGGAGCTTGAGTCGAATCAAGCTCCTCACAGCAATTTCCTGCTGCCTCCAGTGAAGGTTTGGGGCCCACTGTCATACATGGCTACAACCATGCTTGGAGTTAAACTTGCAACCGACTGACAGTTATATTTACAAACAAGTGATGACTGCCGTGATGCCGAATACTCTTCCCCCTGCTAAATCATTTTCTTTGTTTGTCAATTTGAATTTCTGTTTAATGACAACTTTCATGTAATTGGTATAGTAAGAATGTGAGGCGGAAGTTGGTTGATTTTCCTTTCGTCTGCAATCTCGAACCAATCTGATCAAATAAACAAAAGGTAAATTCATCTGGGAAATATGGTCAGTCGTAAACCTTTTTCAAAATTCACTATGATGTCATTCCAAAATACATAAGCAAAAGTATAAACGTTACTACTTTTTGGCTGGAGGGCAAATTTCAAGATTCTTGTAATGGCTGCGGCCACACTGGTGGCAGCGATACTACCAAGAGTGTAACAAAGGGGTCACACACTGGGAAGGAGCTTGCAGTCGAATATGAGAAGGGAAGTAACTCTTGACATCGCCAAAATGTCCTAAGAAAATTCTTAAAGGTTTGAGCAAATGGACATAATATTTCTTTAGCAAATTATGAAAAGCATAAGATTTATAATAAAATTTTCACAGAGCCGTTCTGCGTGCAGTTGTACAGAACTACAATATAGCGACAATGATCGAAGCCTATGTTAAAATATGGAAGTTACCATCACCTTAGCACCGAGATCCCTTTTGTACAATGGCATCAGGATTTTGCAGCTTGAACTTATGTCTATGTTTGTTTCAGCTGTACTGGTTTACAGTGGAGTTCGGGCTGTGTCGACAAGGGAAGGACCTCAAGGCCTATGGTGCCGGCCTCCTGTCATCATTTGGGGAGTTGCAGGTACTTCAGCTTTGTTATAAATTCATTTGTTATCAATTGGAGTTGTTATTTAGTTTGATACTATGAGGTTTTTTTTGTATTGATACTGACAGTGTTTATTATGGTATATACACCAAATAAATGTAAACATATTTCGGTAGATAAACAAGATATATGTATGCTTAATGAGGCATATAAACAGAATATGTGTAAACTTATTACAGTATATACACCAAATATATATATATATTTTGTGTAAAGACCTTATTAAGCATATATATATATATATATATATATTCATACATACATACATACATATACATACATATATACATATATATATACTTAATAAGGTCTATACACAAAATATATGTAAACTTTATAACGTATATAAAACATAACATGTATACTTAATAATGTATGTATGCAAAATATATGTCCATTTAATGAGGTATATACACAAAATATATGTATGCACCTATAATATAACTAAAAAGCATCACTTCAGTTAACATCACTTGTGTCATCACTTCTATAAACATCACTATACTTCACTATATATTCCTTTCAGTACTCACTGACTGAAGAGCCAGAGAAGAGGCCATTTGACCCATCCAAGACAGCTCTGCAGGAGTATCCCATCACATCATTCCAGCCTGTGTACTTTGTGGCTGACAGCTTTGAGGATGCCAAAGAAAAACTCAGGTTTGTAGGAAAACATTGGATTTGAGGCATTTCTAAACCCAACTCACTCACTCCTGCAGACAGTACCGAGGGCGGATCCAGCATTTTCAAAAGGGAGCAGGCCAAAATATCAAAATCCTCTCTCAGAGTTGGGGGCTGGGGGTAGGGCTGGGGATGGAATTGTCTACAACATAATACACTTGGTTTTCAAAGGGGGGGGGAAGTCTCGACCCTCCTCTGGATCCACCTGTGAGTAGTGTTGAAGAGCTAGCATGTGAAAAAATTTCAACCCTCACACCTTCTTTCAGGGCTTATGCTGCAACCATCCCACGTCCCTTCAGCGTGCGCTACAACGCCTACACCCAGAGTGTTGAGGTCATTAACAGCAAGGAGCAGGTCCTCAACCTCACCAAGGCCATCAGAGGTACCTTCGTTTGAAACATAAAGGGAGACAATTCTTGAGGGCCTGGTGACAATTTCCAGTCTTGGTCCAGATGTTGTCATTATGTCTTGTGTGAAAATGAATCAGTGTCCCTGTGTAACATGGGTTATCACTAATTGCTATATTGATAAGACCCGTGAAGATCCGGGGAAGAATAGGTCTTCAGCAACCCATGCTTGCTGTGAGAGGCGACTATGCTTGTCCTACGAGGCGACTAACGGGATTGGTTGGTCAGGCTGGCTGACTGACTTGGCTGATACATGTCATCATATCATAAGTGGAATATTGCTGAGTGCCACCTGAAACGACAAACAAAACAAATGATATACATAAAAACATTTAAGCTGGCAGACAGACAAAGTGTTTTTTTAGGTTCTAGTTAAGTATTTATTCCCATTAACATTAAGCTTAGCATTTAAGTTTGTTCTTTTTATCCCTTGCATGCATTTTAATGAAGGAATATTCTATATAAATCTGTTGACATTTATCCAACAGCATGTGTATGAGTGTATTGGGTGATGTGTTGTGTGTATTGGGTGGTATGTTGTGTGTATTGGGTCAGGCTGATGTGTATTTGTGATAACTGGGTACATGGGTGTTTTGTATGGATATTTGTAGGAGGTAAAATGTGAAGTATGTGGCTATGATATCTGTAATGTATGCATGTTGCTGTCAAAGCCATGTTGCTGTCAAAGCAGTCATGGCTACAAGTTCAGTATAGATGAAGACATCTTCCTGAGTCAAGGGCATTAACTGACTATTAAAGTCCAGTTTCCACCCTTGCCGAACTAGGCTGGAATTCCAGAGTTACATTGTCCAGCGAGTAGCGAGTCTATGCATTATAAAGTCCAATCAAAAACGCGTAACGAAGTAGGCATCTGGTTAAAAAATCTGGTTCTGTCGTCGCCAGATATTTTCCAAATCTTGTCATATTTTTAATCAATGTGCTCAAGTGATTTGATGCACTTCACAGGGTAAGACCTGTTTTATTACAATATGGATCTTGATTATTGATCAGATCGTCTTGACTGGCAGGTGCCATTTTGTTTGAAGCAAATGCAAGTGATATGAGAGATCGAATCTGATTGGTCAATAGGAGGGACATGGTAGGGACATAACTCAATATAGCCACTGGTGGTGCTACAATTGAGCCCAGAAATTCCAGCCTTAATTGGTTCGGCAAGGTGGAAACTTGATTTTTAAAGTCAGGAATATGGGATTAAAATGATGAAGTGTTTTATAAGTTCTGAAAAGTCCCTTAAATGATTGTAAAATTACAAAAATAAAAGTTGTGCAATCCTGTCAAGGTAACTTGTAATCAATGATCTATTTTGATATAATGCTTACCTCTGTTTGCAGGTGACCTTTCACTTCTTGAAGAAGCCATGAAGAAGGTCAACAGTATGAAGTAAAAGGTCAAGGTCATGTGTTGACAAAATAGTATTGATGTTTAGTTCCTTCTCAAATCTTACATTTCATATAAAATATGTCAAAGAAAATCCAGATTTCAATTTTTAAAATGAGCAAAATCTACATAAAGTGCCTAATAGCAAATGATTTTGCCTGGCACAACATTCATACTGATTTTGCAAAATCTGATGTTTTCACTTTTTGTGAACACATTTCAATAAGGGTCTACCATTTGATATTCTGGAGCATTGGCGAGGGCTTGGATTTTGTGTGGAGATTAGATATTTTTTCAGCTGCACCTGCAAAACCAGATATATTTTTTAATTAATACTATGACCCACAATAAAAAAAATCAAAAAAATCCTTGAACAGTGTAATTTTTGTGCCGGACAATATCTATTTTTTCCCCAACAATCTGACACATAATTATTATTATTTTCAAGCAATTGGACATTGTATTTTTTAGGATATAATCCCAGAATATCAAATGGTCCGTCCCTAAACATGAGAATGCACAAAAAATGTCCTCAATTCCTTGTTTCAAGAAACGACTGTCAGTTTCTTCTGATTCTGATTGCTATTCTTTTGTCTTTTAAAATACATGTTATGGTTAGGACACATGTGAATTCTGCACAATACATGTTTGTTGACTGTTGTTGGTTAATCAGGAATATATACACTGTGTACCATATTGTTTACAATTACTGCTTCTGTGTGGTTGTGGTAAATCTTGCATAATGGTTATTTATTAGGAGCATTAACTGACATACTGGTAGAAGAATAAAGCACAGAGAGGTAACAGTTTGGCAGCTATTCAAGGATGTATATATACACTCACATCCTGCTCAATACAGGAATTGTAAATCTTGGCAGATTGGAAAAGATTAGAGTCATATTCTTATGCAACCTTGTTATCAGTTGTCAACTATTTTGAAATATCTTCACAAAATAGAGGTCTTTCTGAAATTTCTTATTACCTCAGGGATAGAAACGGCTACTAGTTAGATACTAGTGAAAATCTAAAGGTTTTCTCCTGAAATCTTGTTATTTTACATAACCCCTAGTTCGAAATGAGCTGGGTAGGACCAGTGGTGACTACCCTTGCTACTTAATAGCTTTAGTTGTTCTACATCATCATTGCACCTTTTACACTAAAACTTGTGGCAGGAAAAGTATAAAACTTGAATTTCATTAACAATCCTTCCGTGAAGTCCTTTAGTTATTTTAGAGACGATCAGATACCTACATGTTTATATGTTTTGGACAGAAGTCATAGTCAACTCCCAAACCTGTAACGTCAGATCTGTGCGTATAAAGATTCCATGCCTGATCCCCACAAAGGGGGAGTACCACTTTTGAACAGTGTCTGTTCGTCACACCAACTCTGGGTGATAGAAATATTCAGGGTAGTGTTTGTAAATTGTATATTCATAAGGTATTTTTGGTTTGTTATATAAGAATTATTTTATGGATAACAAAGAAGATGTTTTTATTTAAATGCTGAGAACAATACTTGTTGAAATTATTCCGGTGAAGCACAAACATTTGGCTCAAATGTTTGAAAACCTATACTTTACAACTTTCTCTTTGAGGACTTTACATATACATGTAGGTTTTCAAAAAGTTATCCTTTTTCAATATTTTGGATCAATCTTATTAAAATCAGCTCTTAGTTCCTGCTTTACCTAAACAAAGATCTGAGGACATCCCATTAGGGGTCACGTCAGAAGGACCTTTCATCCAACTAATTAAAGCATCGCTTACCAGATCATGAAAGTGACAGTCGGAATGTGTTTTCTAATCATGCAACCTCAAAAACGTTAACACAGGGTATTCCGAATGACAGTTACGGCCCGTACGACAAAGCCTATCTCTCGCTTCCGTGTGATAAACATTTGAATGGAGGAGGCGTTGCACAGTATGTAGGGAGCACTGCCATACAATCTCAACCATGTATAAGACATTCCGGAATGTTCGTTTGTTCAGTTTCCAAAATTTTAATTGAGAACTGTGTCAACATATTTTTCAAGCGTAGTCTGCAATGGAAGTTGCCAGGTTGAAATGAGTGACATAAAGCTCGAGAAAGCTGCTTTCAAATTGTCTTATGTCGACTTCTTGTTAGTCATTTCAGTGGTCGGTCAAAGTTTGCGAAAGGTCGTTCTGACGTGAACCGTAATGGGATGTGCTCAGATCTTTGTTAAGCGGCAGAGAGAACTTAGATCTGATTTTAATGAGGTTGTATTTTGGATGTTAATCATGTTTCCTAAGTAACTTACCACAATGGAGGATGTGGATTTGAGGCTTTATGTATACATGGTAAGGGCCCAGGCTCATTATTATGTCACAATATAGGTTGTTGAAAATGATCTTACAACAGATAATAGGACTATTGTTTATTTCAAAAATGTAATTTGTTTACTGATTTTCTTGTTAGTTATCAGCCTAAAGTAAAAACCTTTTCTTTATGACCAATAGGACATAATAACATTTGCCCGTAAGGAAATTGATCTAAAATATTGTTGGTAAATCTCACCAAAATTATTTTTATGTAATTCTAATGTCGATCTACACTTATACAGATCTACACTTATACAGATGTTTTAGTCATCTTTTTGATGATGCTGATGCCATCATCATCATTAACCGGTGTTGCATTTAGATCATAATGCTATATGGAAATGTTTTATTGTATCATATTTGTGTTGTGATATCTTTAAATTTTAACATTGTTGTCTTGTTACTTTTCAATGTCTTAAAAGATATGTATAGATTAGAATGTTAAAGTAAAAAAAATCATTGCATTTACATTTAATGAAGTCATTGAACTGTAAGCCGAGAAATTAAACTTGAATATATTGAGAAGTTTGACCATTTTTGGTGGCTATGATCAATATTATAACGAAAGATCTCAATTTAATCCAGACATCCCCATAGGGAAAATGACATTTTGGTTAGTCAAAATAAGTGAATCTTGTAAAGTTAGTTGTGAATAACAAATTATTGGTATTGTCTCATAGTTGTATTCTTAGCTGAAGGGCTTTGGATGGTGGTTTAATATAGGTTATGCTACAGAGCTTGGTTGTTTAGTACATAGCTTAATGGGTATATATATATGTTGTATTTTGTTCATTAGAGAATGTTAACCATATAGGAACCAGACAAATATGATATTTTTGGTTTTGTTGATGAGCATTACCTAAAGAGTGGAAAAAGGTAATAATGATGTATGTTGAAAATATGCTTATCTTGCTTTTCTTTGTTATTTAATATTGAGGCTTTTATATCAGAAGCTTTGTATGGAAAATTACCATGGCAATATTTGGTGTTGACTCCTGAAATATTGTCTTGGAATATTGACCAGGATCATTTTTTATTTATCTGGTCTTGTTTTCTATGACGTACTTGGATAATAGATCATATACACATATTTGGAGATATGTATAACCTTCTTTGATCAACCAGTGTATTATGGGTCATTTTGTTATGATAAAAAGACAGGACCGATTCGTCCCCATTTCTTTGTTATATAAATCAAAGGCGAATGACACAATGGTAAAAAATTGTTATCAAATCAAATTGGCGCTGATAGTATGGAAGCCAGTACTAAAGTTATCATAGATAAGTAATAGGTAAAGGACACTGGGAAAACGGGAGGCCGGGGGCAATTAGCACTGGTAGGTGAAAGAATGGACATGGCAATGGGCAAATGGAAGCCAGCTAGGTAATTGGCACCGACAAAATATACATGTACAGTGATAATATTTATCAGAATGGAATAGAGATATTATATACTACATAAACAAGGATTAAACATGATTTTTGTTCGTATGTTTGGTAACCATGATAAGTCTTAAAGTTTCTTGGTGCATTGTTCTAAGTGACATGTACCGTATTCGACGTAATAAGTGCCAAGGGCGCTTTCAAAATTAAAAATAGTGGGCTCTTATTAGAATACTATTTTGGTGAAATGACAGAGTTAAAAGATAAATTTCGTGGTTTATGCTGACAGCCTGAAATGTTTATATAGGAGAGATACATTTTTCCAGAATTTAATTGCCCATAATTAAGGGTGCATATAACACATGAGTGTGTATAATACGCGAATAATTAAGTGTTGTGTACATTGATTAATTGGAAGGGGTGCTAATTGGTATTGTTCACAAGCCAATATATTAGCAAATATCGCCGTGGGCGCTTATTACGTCGAATACGGTAGTTGAAATATTTCTGTGGCGATACCTTCATTGACATTCCTGTAATTCCCCTGTAGACTGTGATGGATTGTGATATTGTTGAATACATATTAAAGACCAGATGTATATCTAGCAATAAAGTCTTATGATTGTTAATGCTTTTGTATTCGTGTCACTGTGTTGATATCTACATTTGTATTCTGTGTCAAGTTTGTGTTTGATATGGACATTCTGGAGTTGGTCTCTAACCTGCATCCCTAAGTATGTCTAGGTCTGACCTTCCACAAGATGGTCAATAACTCCTTAGTATTATTGTTGTTGTTGTTGTTGTTACCGATCTTGATCAGAAGTGACAGATACACATTCATCAAGGAATGTTTCCACAAAGAGGTTATAGCATTTTAACTCCTATTGTTTAACTTTATGATAACGTTAGCATCCACAATGCTCCTTTATCATATGACAATGCTAATGATGTCATTGGTAATTTGCATATTATTATAACTGTGACTATCGTCACTATCACTAATGTTCACAATAACCAGAGTACTGGTACAGGGACAGGCTGGCAGTCCAGTTCTATGAACCTACATTGGTGTCTTATGAAGCTCTCATACAATGTCCCCAAGGAACTCAAAAGGTTCATTTCTTTGTTCACTGGCATGAGAGTACTTGGCGGGTACTGGGTCCCTTGCGAACACTTTCCGCCCGAGAACATCCCACAGATGCTCTATTGGGGACTTGTCAGGGGACCAGTCCAAAGTCTGTATGCCCACTCTTGCCAGATAATCAGAGAGGACCCTGGCACAATATAGTCTGTCATTGTCATCATGCAATTCAAAATTTCAGCCGAATGGAACACATACAGGAAACTTTCGTTAACATGTCGCTAGTGAGTCAAATGTCCATTCACCACAACCAAATCAGTTCACCTGTCAGGTGTGATACCGCGCCACACCATGACACTAATGGCCCAATACAGATCATGATCAAGAAGTGTTGCCCTTGCATACCGCTCGCCGTTACGTCACCAATAACGTTTTCTGCCATCTGTGAATCGGAGGAAAAACCTTTATTCGTCTGTAAGCATTGTGTAATGACATTGGCGCACAGCCCGTCCCTTGTGTTGCCAAGCCCACCCCAATCTTTGCCACCTATAGTTGGCCTTTAGGGGCACATCCTTCACAGGACACTTTGCTTTCAGGAGGCCTCTATTGAAACGTTTTTTCCTGTTTTTGGACGAAATTCTCTATTGATAACAGGAATAGATTTAAATATCTTGCGTAATGCCAGGTCTCATTGCAGCTCCATCCATTTGACGATACTTGTCCCACAATCAGGAAATTGCACTTTTTTGATTTGCCAAACTTATCATATTGACATGGACACACACTCATTTTGGCTTGTGTGGACACATAGACACATTAGATGTTGCGTTCAGATACAACGCCACGATATTGTCAACTATGATATATCTCAACTATAGCTACATTCAAATCATCAGTTCCCCTATTTTTTTATCGGTAGTGTACATGTTGAATTTAGGGATTAATAGTTTTCACTCGTCAATATCTATGTCATGCTAGGTGCGTTCCATAGACCAATACATGAACCTAACCTTGGCCTTGCGTCCACCGAAAGATAGTGGGATCTGGGGACGATACCTTGCAAAAACAAAACAAACGCAAATGTAGTGAAATAGTAAATATCTGACAGGGTGTTGCCGAAATCCATACACAATTAATAGCAAAAATGAATTGGTCCTTTCTGCAAGGATTGGAATTTATTTGAGTGGAAAGAATGAGGCACTGCAGAAATTTGGTGGAAAAAACGCAAAAAAATACAACCACGTGGGAACCTGGCGCAGAAACACGCCACAACATCACTTGTTGGGCTATAAAAACGTTCGGTTTTCATTTGCATGTCATCACAATGTTACAGCAAGTGAACAGCGAAAACCTGCCACGACTGACCGAAGCCCAACGTCATCGGCCGACTGGAAACAGAATTATCATCTTCAGCTGTAGCCAGGTACTTTCCACGTAGCACCGAACACCATTACAAGACTGTGGAACCGTTATCAGACACACGGGACAGCACGAGAATTACCCAGATTCGGTCGACCACGTATCACAACTAGAGAACAGTACAGATTCATACGGCTACGTCACTGACGTGAAAGAACCACCACGGCCACCTCTATCAACTACGGCAATACCAAGATTGCGCGAGGATGTCAGCTCAGACAGTGAGGAACCGTTTACGCGCTGAAGGTATTCGCGCTAGGCGACTAGTTCGAGGGGTCATTTTGACGGACCAGCATCGTCGGCTGCGACGTCAGTGGTGTCACGATCACAGAGTATGGCAGAGTGAGTGAACATTCCACAGGCCACGTTTCGGGATCTGATTGCTTCCATGGGACGACGATGCCAGTCAGTTCTGGACTCTGATGGTGGCCATACAAGATATTGAAAACAGATGACCTTCACCTTGAAAATATACTGTTCCATGTGTGCCAAATGGAACCTGGGTCAATGACAATGATGTGTGCCAGTTTTGAACAATCAGTTACATCTGTTGATTGTGTATATATA